GATGAGTTACACCCCATGTGCATGCGCGTGTGTAATCCCCAAGCCATGAAAGGACTGCTTGGGACCTTTCACTGAAATCCTGATTTATGGTGATTTCTTTAAAAGTATGTCGTGGGGCTACATTGCCAAAATAGGTGAGACCCAGGTTTCAGTTACTTACAAATGCAAAGGCTCCTTATCAAAAGGTCAGGTGTCCGCTCCAGTTGGTAGGTGAGTGATTGTGCATACACACTGTTGCCTGTGGCACCTCCCACTTGAGCTTCCCAGTGGTGTGAACGGCCACCAGCTACTGGGGACAGAATTGGGTTCAGCACTGTTGTAGTGCAGAGGAGAAAGTGGGTCAGGAAACCTGGATTTCTGCTGTGGTTCTACCATCTGCTGTAGCTCAGTGCTAACCAAGACACTCTTCCTCGAAGCAATTGGGCTAAATCGCCTTCAAGACACTCCTCTTGAGAACTTGACCCTCCACGTCCTGAAAAGGGGGTGACACAACTCCCCCACCGGAGAGCTGGTGCCTGTTCTCTGGCACTGCCGGCCAACAGGGCTCAGGAGCTGGGGGCATGTGGGCAGTTGATCAAGTGACTCCCATATAACTTCATTTAGGGTTGAGTATCTTAAGGTTGGTGTTCCTACATATGTGACATCAGTGAATGTATCACATATGACCAAATGCACTAATGGTTTTTGCTTTCAGAATACTTAACCTTTAGCTCGCTACTTTCACCTGCTGTTCAGAGGCAGCGGTATGAGAACCAGTCTGTTCTTCCTAAGGGTGCACACGTTCTGTGTAAGTGCACATACACTCACCAGTCCAACAACCCTATGAGGTAGCAATTGATGGAGACAAGGAAACAAGCACATTTGATGACATTCCTATCCTTAGAGGGAGGTCTCTTCTGTGTTGCTGAATGATACCTAACCTGGTCAGTAGTAAAACTGAGGTCCGTTTTGCCTTCTCGTATCAACCAATCTAAGTTACAGGTGGGAGATATGTCATCTTAAAACTTGAGCACGTTTCACTGGTAATTACTGTCAAAGATGTGAGTTAGGGGTGATAACTAACTCCAAAATGCATTTTACTGACAATTCGGTGATGGGATTTTGGGTATTGTTTCTTGGTGGGGGGGCAATTGCCAGGAACGGTGGCTTTTCTCATGAAGAGCACGCATGCGTCACTGTCCTGCCTAGGAGCCGTGGTGATGATGGGGGTGGTGTCAGCAGTTTGGACCCAGTAGCTGTCACTTGGGAGACAGTCCAGGCCTTCTGCTCCAGTCGTGTTCCATAGCGGGTGCCCTTCTGCCCTGCCCTGCAGGTCACTGAGAGTTGGAGTAGACATGGCAGGGGGTGGGGTGGGGGTTGGGGTGGTTATTTATAATGATGGTTGGCAGCTAACTGGCTCAGCCAATCATGATGGAACTGCATACACCAATTGCCTCAGATTCAATGCTAATTAACATTACACACAATCCCTTAATAAGAAGGGAAAGAAAATACATGAGATTTTCTTAGGAGAATGCAAGAGGGCAAGGTCAGAAGTAAGTTAGCATGTTAAACGTGTAACTACTGACAGGACCATATATAAGACGGGTGGAGTTCTACTTTATTGATAAGTAGAGGGAGACTAAGTAATGGCCTTGCCTATGTTAAAAAAAATTCTGGAGCGATGGTGTTCATGGAAGTGTGTAATTCTCACAATCCCAATTCCAATTTTGTTAGGAGATGTCGTCGCCCTGAAGAACACCCCTCCAGTGGCCACCAGCCTCAAATTCTCCCAAAGGGGGACACACGCTGGGTCCTGAGAAGGGGCACTATTTGTAGCATGACATCCTAGAGAGAGAATTCTCCCCCATTAGCGCACCTTCCCGTTTTGGAGGGAAAAAGTTGGGGCCATAATTCAAAATGGCGCCGCCCACGACGTCCCGCGCGCTCCGGCGGCGTCCGCGGGCCTCGGTGCGGGCGGAAGCGGGCTGGGCTCGCCTCCCTGCGGGCGGGGGCGGCTCCCCCGGAGGAGAGGCCGGCGCAACGTCGGGCGGAAGTGCCCGGCGGAGGCCTCAGTGAGGGCGGAAGTTCTGTTAAGGGCGGAAGGGATCGCCGCGGAGGCTCGCTTCTGCGCCTAGCGCGTCCCAGTCACTTCCGAGGTGGAGCGGAAGTTGCTTTGTTTTGCTTCAAGATGGCTGCGGGGATGTATTTGGAACATTACCTGGACAGTAAGAGCAGCTTGGAGGGCGGGTCGGGGTCATGGAGCCGCGGGGTCGGGGCGGAGAGGCTGTGTGGACGAGAAGCCCTGGTGCTAAGGCGGTTCCGGTGGGGTGGAGTTCCGAGGGCGGGAGGGCCGGGGCCTCGCTGTTGGGTGCGGACGGGCCAGGGGCTGCGCAGTGGGGCCTACGGCCGCCCTCTGAAAGAGCGGCAGGGAAGCCGAGATGTCTCCGCGCCCTGGAGCCCCTAGCCTGAGACAGCGCGCTTCCCAAGTGGCTCGGGATGGATCTTCCCCGGCCGCCCCCTGCCAGCCGAGGCGGCGGCAGATCCCGCCAACCCGCTCCTCCCCGAGACGGGCTCGAGGCGGGGCCGCTGTCAGGTGCAGAACCCGAACGGATTCCTTCGTGCAGCGAAGATCCACGTCCCAGTCACCTCGGAGCCGGTGTTCACGTGTATGCTACGTGCACCGGGCACCCCTTCACAAAACCTGTCCCCTATGGTGTGCTCAGGAACCAGTCGGTGTCTTGTTTTGGTTTTTACCGAGTCAAGACGTAACGTCAGGCCCTGGCCTGAAGATTCTCACGGTCTAGCAGGAAGCCTTTCTGTAGAGAAATGGTGATGAAACGGTAGGACGAGGCGCGTCTCAAGAAGACAGTTGGCGACACAGGAAAAAGCAGGAGGGATCGTCTGGGATGGTAGGGAGGGTGGCGTTTGAATAGAATCGCCAAGTTTAGCGTGTTTATTTCCCAGTATTAAAGGGAGAAGGAATTCTGGGTATGGTGACAGGCTACTTAGGACTTTTTAAGGGAAGTCTGGGGACTGAGATTGAATAGAGGCTGGGGCAAGATTGCATAATATATATTTTAAGCCAAACGAAGGAGTTTGCGTTTTAAGGAGAGAGGAGCCAACCAACTTCTTAAGCAGGGTGTGATTTTTATCAAAGGAAATGACCGAAGTGTGCTAACTTGATTGGTAACAGGGAGATCAATTAATGATAGCCATTCAGGAGTGATGAACTCCCCAGAGAAGGGACTGACTGAGCAAAAGGAGTTCAATAGGACCGGATTTATGACATGGCTGACTGGTGGAAGGAGGGGGCTGGGAATCCTAGGTGACTTTTAGATTCCCTGCTTGTGGAAAAAGTAAGGTAGATATATATTAACAAGGTAGGAAATCCAGAGGTGATTGTAACTTAATTCTCTGTTATATTTAAGCATATGAATGGTAATTGTATCAATGAGCATGACTAACTCCTTTCAGGGGAAACAAGTAAAAAAAAAAATCAGAGGATTAAAGGATATAACCTCAAGAAAACTGCCATTTAAGGGAAGGGCTAAGGAAATGTCAATGTTGGAATTACCAGAAGGTATATGATTAAGATAGGGAATCCTAAAAGGAAGAAAGTTACTTGAAGGGGAGAGACAGTATCAACTGCTACAGTTCCTTTTTTTAGAATGCCCTACTGAAACTAAACCCATTGCCATTTCAACTCCTGCCACCCCACAGGACAGGAGGGACTGCCTTCTAGCAGGTTTCCAAGGATATAAGCCATATGGAAGCCGATTAGCACATCTTTTTCCCAATAGAGTAAGAGGTGGGATCAAACTACCGACCTTTTGGTTATTAACAACTGGGCCACCAGCACTCCCTTTTAGGACATGACTACTTAAAGACCTTTTGATAAGTTACTGGTGACTTAAAAGAATCACAGTAAACTGGTGGTAGCAGAGTTGAGGTTGTAGGCTAAAGCAGTGAATGCTTGTTAAAAAGGCTGAGGTGGAGCCGGGGAAGCAACCCTATCTGTGTGGGAAAGACATCTGTATTTATGCATTTGTGCGAATATTTATTATCTTCTATATCCAAGCCACCCTCCCACATACCGGAGAAGTGCAAGACAGGCATGTCCCAGCCTTCCTGGAGGTCAGAGAAGACCCAGAACTAGTTATACAATTAGGTGTGTGAAAAGCCAGACATAAGCAAATGTGGCGAAGAAAGCTGATGGTGCCCGGCTATCAAAAAGTATACCGTCTGGGGTCTTAAAGGCTTGCAGGTAATCAAGCGGCCATCAAGCTCAGAAGCAACAAAGCCCACTTGGAAGAAGCACACCAGCCTATGCAACCACGAGGTGTCGAAGGGGTCAGGTGTAAGGCATCATCAGAACAAAAAATCTTACCATAGTGAATGATGGGGGGAGTGCAGAGTGGAGATCCAAAGCCCATTAGTAGGCCACTGGAGATCCCCTTGCAGAGGGGTCTCGGGGAGGAGATGAGCCAGTCAGGGTGCGATGTAACAATGATGAGAAATACCACTTTCCTCTAGTTCCTAAATGTTTTCTCCCCACTCCCACTACCATGACTTGAATTCGATCTTGCAAGTCAGGCTAGACCAGAGGTTGTACACTGGTACAGATAGGAACTGAAAATACAGGGAATCCAGGATGGATGAGCCCTATAGGACCAGTGGGGTGAGTGGCAAAACAGGGAGGGTAAAGGGAGAATGGGTAGGAAAGAGGGAACCGATTACATGGAACTGGGTGTGACCTCCTCCCTAGGGGACAGACAACCGAAAAGTGGATGAAGGGAGATGTCGGACAGGGCAAGATATGACAAAATACCCATTTATAAACTATCAAGGGCTCATGCGGGAGGGGGGAGCGGGGAGGGAGGGGAAAAATGAGGACCTAATGTCGGGGGTTTAAACGGAGAGAAAATGTTTTAAGAAACGATGTGCAAATGCGCTTTACACAATTGATGTGTGTATGGATTGGGATAACAGTTGTATGAGCCCCTAATAAAATGTTATTAAAAAAAAAAAGCCAGACATACAAGACCTTCACAGTGTACATCCAGGGTACTTGTCAGCGCCTGAGGAAGTCATATTTGACCTGAGCTTTGAAAGATAAGCAGGAGTTTAATAGTTTTAGAGATAAGTTGGGGTTGGGCTTGGATTGGGTTAGGTATGAAGGAAGGCTGGACAGAGAGAAGACTCAGACCAAATGCACCCCCATTGAGTCAATGACATCACCTGGTGATTCAGAACAGGGTAGAGCCGCCCCTGTGGGTTTCCGAGACTAACCAAGGGAGTCAGAGGCCCCGTCTTTGTCCCAGGCAGCGAGAACAGCACGTCAACAGCCATGGGGCTGGGAAAGCACTGGCAGGTGGGAAGCACTCGAAGACAAGTGTGGTTCGCAAAGGCAGAGTGTAAAGTGGGGCTAGCAAGAATGAAGGAAGTGTGAGGTAAGCGGGGGCCGAGCAGGATGCCATGCGGGGCTGTGAGCAGCAGGAAGGACAGTGACCTGAGCTGAAGAGCACCCGGCTGCGGAGGAGTAGACCGTGTGCATTATGAGCAGTAGCCGATCCAGGGAGGCCGTTTCTACGTGGCGGGCACGAGGCCTGGAGGCAGAGATTGGAAACCAAGGACTGAGAAGGGCCGATGTGTAGCGCCAGGCTGGGATAGCTGCCGAGATGAGGAGGTGAGTGGTAGGCAGAGATGGACGTGACTTTCCCTGAGAAAGGAAGCGTGCAGGTGGTTTTGGCTCAACCTGCAGGTTCCCAGGAGGGCAGACGGAGGACCTTTGGGCCAGCTTTGGAACTCCCCTTTTAAAAAGAATCTCAGGCCTGTGAAGTGTGGTGACTCCGTTTCTCTTCCTCTCCGTAGGTATTGAAAACCTTCCTTTTGAGTTGCAGAGAAACTTTCAGCTCATGAGGGACCTAGACCAAAGAACAGAGGGTACGTACAGAGTCAAGAGCCCAGGCAAATAATGAACGTTTGTGGTCATGTCTTTCTCCACTAAGTTTTCTATGTGGCTGGGTAAGAGCTGGAGAAATGGCTGGCCTCTCTCCCTCTCTCATTGTCACTGCGAGTCTTAAAGAGAAGTTAGAAACCCTCATTTCAGTATCAGCTCTTTCCCAACAAGTGGGCTATGGAGACGATGTATCAAGAACCAGGTATTGTGTTCTCTGTACCTTCCTCCAGAAGAACGGAGGAAGCCAGAGTCCACTCAAGCATCCTTTCTGCTGCCCGTGTTGATCTTAGCACCACCTTTACAACGATGTTAGCCTGCAACTCGAGTGTTGGTAGGGTCTTTGCAAAGACAGATGCTGCAGAGAAAGCCTTAAAGAAGAGCTACAGGAAAGCGGCCGTTCACATCAGGATCTCTGAGCTGTGTTCCTCAGCCTTGCGAGAAGCCTTAGCTACCATCCATGGCCTTGGACTCCAGAAACGCTTGGACAGGTTTGGCCGCATTGAGTCCTTCTGATGACCAACCGGAGGCTACACTACAGTGGTCCTGTGGTCTCCTCGGGGTCAAAGATACCTGTGGGTGCTCTTCCCCATTCCCTCTAAGGGCATCTACATCTCCTCCATCCTTGCGAGGTCCTGCTCAAGGATGTAACCGGCTGGTGTGCGGATACATGACACTGGTGACGTCCCTGTTAGTCTAGGCAGGTTCGCTTGGGAAAAGGCAGCCCTCGTCTGAAATTCTGGACACAGAGCTCGGAGAGCTGCCCGCGGAATGCTAAGGACCAGTTGCTTGCTTTGACAAACAATTCCAGCACCCGGGATTGTACACAGAGAGGTCTGTTGGAGATTCTGAAACCCTTTCTTGGCTTGCTTCAAAGGCCTGGAATAAACTGTGGTCGCAGAGGCTCCCTGGTGATCTCTTGCTGCACTGTGGACAGCCAGACTTTTGTCCCTCTGGCTACCTCGTTTGTGGCCCCTTCCAGCTCCTGGGCAGGACACACCCATGGTCTCGGAGTTCTGGGGTATCACCAGGCTTCCAATACTGAAGTCTTTGCTGCAACGAGTCACTTGTTCAAACACACAAACCCCAACAAGCAAAACTGGGGACGGGAAATGCAAACAAGCTGGCCAATGATGAAGGGATCAAGGCGAGCACTCAGGCCTGTGTGATGGGAGGGCAAGGGCCTGATTTTAAACAGTGAACTTACCGACCGACCGAGAGACCTGGAAGCGGGTGGCATCATTTCATCAACCTGGTGTGCAGCCGTCCGAGCTACTGAGGAATGCCGTGGGAAAGCAGAACCAGGCGACTTGAAAGCGGAGTTTAGTGTGCAAGCAACTGCAAGTCCCGCAGAGAAGCCTCCACAGACCTCAGCAGAGTGCTCTAGGCTCTGTGTACGCGCGCAGTGTGACAGTGCCCCTCGCTACCTTCTGCCCATGTTCCAACAGTGAAGGCGGCCTTAAGACAAATCCCGGTGAATGTGTCATGTCGTGTCGCGTCACTCTGGGTGCGTGGCAGGCCCCGCCCCTGTGAACGTGCAGTGCCTGTTTTAGTGGAAAGGCTGTGGTGGTGAATGGAAAGGCCTGAGGAGCAAGAGGAAGAAGTGTGTTTTCAGCCTAGCCACCCAGGGGCCATTGTGACCAGGCCTCTGTCTCTGTTGTAGACCTGAAGGCTGAAATTGACAAGTTGGCCACTGAGTATATGAGTAGTGCCCGCAGCCTGAGCTCCGAGGAAAAACTGGCCCTTCTCAAACAGATCCAGGAAGCCTACGGCAAGTGCAAAGAATTTGGCGACGACAAGGTGCAGCTTGCCATGCAGACCTATGAGATGGTATGGCCCTGTTCATGGCTCCCCACCTTCCTCCCGTCTAGTCCTGGGCCCTAGACCACTCGTTCGCTGGTGCTGGGCCCCGTTTCCGGCCTGGGCCGCTCGTGTCGCCTCCGTCCGCCACTGTGCCGGGACCCGCCTTGTAGCTCTCCCCTCTTGTGCCTTCCCGGCCAGGTGGACAAACACATCCGGCGCTTGGACACAGACCTGGCCCGTTTTGAGGCGGACCTGAAGGAGAAGCAGATTGAGTCCAGTGACTACGACAGCTCCTCCAGCAAAGGCAAAAAGAGTGAGGAGGGGGCGGGGCTCCCAGAGGTGGGGCAGCATCCCCAGGGGCCAGCGCAGGCTCTTCACCCGTTCAGGAGGGGTGCCAGGCTGGAGAAAGCTGGCACTTCACCTCTCTTTCTGTCTCCCTGCCTTCTGGCGCTCCCCCTTTTCCCTAGCAGGTCGGACTCAAAAGGAGAAAAAGACTGCCCGGGCTCGGTCCAAAGGGAAAAACTCCGATGAAGAGACCCCCAAGGCTGCCCAGAAGAAGCTCAAGCTCGTGCGCACGTGAGTGCCTCACGGAGGAGTTCGCCTACAGACCCGCTCCTCCCCATCCACCCGTGACTCCTCACCTCCACAAAGGGAGGAGACCCCACAGTCACCCAGTCCCCAGCAGCGGCGTCGCCCCTCCCCGCTCCGTCCCTGCAGGTGACACTCTCCCCTCTTGGCCTGCAGAAGTCCTGAGTACGGCATGCCCTCGGTGACCTTCGGCAGCGTCCACCCCTCCGATGTGCTGGATATGCCCGTGGATCCCAATGAGCCAACCTACTGCCTTTGCCACCAGGTCTCCTACGGAGAAATGATCGGCTGTGACAACCCCGATGTGAGAGCCATTCTGCCTCAGGAAGGGCAAGGGCAAGGGCTCGGGAGGGCATGCCAAGGGTGGGGGGCCCCATGCTTGAATTGGGTGGGTTTCATGATAGGACGCAGGTGGCGTTGGTTGACCTTGAACCTTCCTATGGGATGGAACAAAGGTGTCCCTTGAGGAATCTGAGAGTGCACCCCCCCCCCCACGCACACACACACACATTCACTCAGTTTTCTCCCACTGTCCTTTCCCAGTGTTCCATTGAGTGGTTCCACTTTGCCTGCGTGGGGCTGACGACCAAACCCCGAGGGAAATGGTGAGTGCGGCCAGGGCCGGAGCTGACCGCCCTGCGCTCATGGGCACAGCCGTGGCCCTTCCTCTCACTCGCTTCCCCTCTCCCGGCCACTCTAGGTTTTGCCCACGCTGCTCCCAAGAACGGAAGAAGAAGTAGATGCGTCCTGGCAGTCAACAGTTTCTCCCATGCCTCCCTGTCCCCCACCCCACCCCGGACCTGGGCTGGTGGGGAGAGGAATGCCTGTGCTGGGCCCGGGGGTGCAGGGAGAAGTGGGCGGTGTAGTCCTGTCTCTCCTTCGGCTCTCCCCCTCTTCTGGTGCTGAGGCTGCATCCAAATCCTGCAGGGAGGGGTGCCGCAGCCACCACGGTGTGTGTGTGCGTGCGCACGCGCTTGCTCTCATCCCCCCAGAGGGCAGTGCACTCGCCCACTCACCTTCTGCCTCCACGCCGAGGTTGGTGCTGTATTTCAGAGGGGTGGTCCTCCACGCCCCTTGCTTTGTATTTAAGGACTGGAGCAGTAAGCGTGGGGGCCCTCTACCAGCCCTCCAGCTTCTCCCCACCCCACTGTGGGGGGCTGTGGTGTGACGAGTTTTCTTCATTCTCTTCCTGCTTTTTCCGTGGTGCGGGCTCCCCAGAGTATCTGGGCTGTGGCCCTATTTGAAAGGACACCCCTTCCTCCACGCCAAGGGGATTCATCCCGGCCTTGTGACTGGGAGAGGGGAGGTGGTCCTCAGATAACACATGTAAAGGAATTGGGGTAGTTGAATAAAAGCTATCCATGTCAGCCTGCTGTGTTTATTGTACACGTACCATGTCCGGAGAATACGCAGGAGCCTCCTGTTTGTGCCCCCAGAGTGGGTAAGAGGCAGGAGGAGGACGGGCCTGGAGAGGCTTGTCACAGGCAGGAGCTGTCTCTCGCCACCAGGAGTCTCAGCGTCTCCGCTTGGACCTCCGAAGCTAGAGAGGGGAGCCTCTGATCAAGGCTCTCCAAACCCCTTTAACTAGTGCAGCTTTTCTCCATTAAATAGGTTCCATGTCATCTCTAACAAGTGCATCTGTGTCGTGGGCCTGTGCTACTCTACTACAGCATAGGAAGTTTCACCTCAGCCCATTGGTGGGCTTGCTCACCTCCTGCTTGAGAACTGCTGTCTTAGACCACGGAGCCATCTTTATACCCAAGCCCTGCACTTGTTTCCCACCTTGGGCACATGTATCACGTGATTACATAGAGGCTTCTCTAGTTCTGCCACATCGACGCTGCTTTGTTTCATAGACCCGTGCTGCACTTACACCACAGCCCCACCAGCTGTGGTGAGCCCTGTCCCTGTCTGGAACGATGGCGTACGTACGCCCTGTGGGATGACTGTGGACGTTGAATAAGGTAAAACAAGACCTGCTTCATTGAAGATAACTGTTGAAAGCAAACATCTCAGGTCCCCCCGATTTGAAAACCCCAGCCACTCCAGGGCTTTCTACTCCCATAGTTAGTCTTAGAAACACAGGAGCAGCACTGCCCTGTCCTAGGGTCTCTATGAGTTGGCATCAACTCAATGGCAGTAGTGTTTTTCAGTTTTTTTACGTACCATGATTGAACACGAGGTTTCTGATAGGCCAGCGGTTCAAACGACCCATGATCTGCTTCTGGGAAGGTCACAACCTAGGAGGTGTACAGGCCCTCCTCTGTTGTCTAGGGTCCCACTGAGTGGGTACCAGTAGCACACAACAATATATAGCTGAACCGGGAACTTTGAACAAAAAAAGGCTCACTGGCTAGCGAGTCAGGCAGTGGGCGAATCTCAGAAACAGTGTGTGCTGAAGCACGGTGGACGTGCCCAGAAACCGCCTGGTTGAGACCATCCCAGCAGTGAGTGCTGGGTATGCAGGCCTCTCATCTTGGAAACAGGATACGATGTCGAGTGTCTCAGTCACACACACACAGAGCGGGCACAATTAGTTGAAGCAAAGGTAAGCTGCTTTTTAAAAGATACTTAGTTCAAAGCATAGCCACAAACATTAGACACACAAACACGCGCTTGCTTGCTTAAGGTTTATGTATCACGTGTATATGTATGGTTCTACAACAGCTTGTAGGGCTCTTAACAGGCACTAAGATAACCTTTAGTGTCATGGATGAGAAAACTTCACTCAGCCCGGCAGTTTCATGTTCACAGCGCTGCAAAGGATGGCTTTGGGCCTCGTCTGGGTGGGGAGGGCGAAGGCCCATCGGTTTCCAGAGGCCCCGCCCCCCGCGCTTGTGACGTCAGCCTTGCACCTTCTAAAACCTCCGCGCGGGCCTCCAGCCTCTGTGTGGCTGCGGCCGGCCCGTTGGAGGCTCTTTTGGTGCGTGCAGCTCTGGCGGATCTGGTGGGGCCATGAGGAAGCTGGCCGCTGGCTTCCTACTCCCCATCCTGAAGGGTAAGGGCACCCACCCACTCCTGTGCTGACCCTGCACTCCTGATCTGAGCGCCCTCATTCTTTCACGGCGGTGCCCTGGGCGCTGCTCCCTACCTTCTGAGACCCTCCCGGGATCTGTCTCCCTGGGGCCTGGCCTTCGCCTCGAGAACCCCTGGAACCCCCTCACGCCCCAGGACTCCACCTTCTCTCCCCCCCAGTTCCTCCATGACACACCACGAGGGACTGCTGGACTGGCTCTGCCCTATGCCCTGAGCGGGTGGGCGGGTTCTGTCCATCCATCCATCCGTCTGCCCCGTCCCCACCCCCACCCCCTGCAGTGCTGCTCCTGAATCCACTTCCTGTCCGAGCGCAAGATTCCACTTCGAGCTCCACGCCGGGCAGTCCCCTCTCCCCCACCGAGTATGAGCACTTCTTCGCCCTGCTAACCCCGACCTGGAAGGCCGAGACCACCTGCCGGCTCCGAGCGACTCACGGCTGCCGGAACCCCACCCTGGTCCAGCTGGACCAGTATGAAAACCACGGCCTGGTGCCTGATGGTAAGGAGCTAATTAGTGGGGAGACTCGGGCACCGGGGGTTTCACCCAAAGCTCAGGGCAGAAGGTGCCCCACCCCCTTAGTGCATGCTCACGTGAGACAGGCGAGGAGCATGGCCCACAGCCCCCCCCTCCCCAGGCCCATCTCCTCCACTCTCCAGGCACCAAGGATACCACCGCCCTCTTGAGGAAGGGTCTCCCCTGGGTGTTTACTTCCCACCCGGCCTTTTCCCAGGTGCTGTCTGCTCCGACCTCCCCTATGCCTCATGGTTTGAGTCCTTCTGCCAATTTACGCAGTATCGCTGTTCCAACCACGTCTACTACGCCAAGGTGAGGCTACCTCTGGTGCTCCAGAGTCAAAGGAGAGGGGAGGAAGGGGGAACAGGCGTTTGAAGAGCTTCAAGAGGATCCTCCCTACAGGCCATTTTGGCAGGGGTTAACAGGCATGATTCCAGTCTGCCCTGGGGCACCCAGACTACCTGAACCACTGAGAGAAGCGTAGGGCCGAGATACGCTCTACTATTTCTTCTGAGCTCAGTGGTTTCCTCCAGGGCCAATGTAGGGGAGCCCCAGCAGGTGTGCGGTCAAAGTGAGTTTGCTCTTCCAGGGGGTACCCTTTCTCGAGTCTAGAGGCTTCTAGCATCCCTGCCTAAGAATTGTGAGTGGTGAGCACTGGTGGGAGCAGGAGTAGGAGGAACTAGCCTTCGGGGAAAGAGCTCGCTTTTCTGCCTGTCTTGCAGAGGGTCCGATGCTCCCAGCCCGTCTCCATCCTCTCACCGAGCACTCTCAAGGAGATTGACACGCCCTCTGAACTCCAGTCCACCAAGCCACTCGTAACCTCGCCCGTCTCGTCACATGCCACAGGTGAGACCTTGCAGCACCTGGCGGACTCCCAGCAATGCCTTCCGCAAGTCCCAGAGGCCAGGAGGTAAGGCATTCCAAACAAAGTAGAAAGCCACCATCACAGCGTTCATTTCAATCCACATCGGCCCTACAGGACAGACTCAGCTGAGCTGCTCACCGGGTGTCTGAGGCTGCAAACCTTCACTGAAACAGCTGCTCCCCCTTTCTCCCACGGAGGAGCCGTGGTTTCCAATCACGGACCGCGTCTTTAGCAGCCCATCACTTAGCCCATCATTGGTAGGGAAATGGGAACCTTGTTAGGGGTAGGGGTAGGGGGAGTGGGAGGCCCTGGTAGCATAGTCGGCTAATGAGCTGGGTTGGTAACTGCGAAATCAGCAGTTCAAAACCATCAGCCCCTCTGAGGGAGAACGATGAGGCTGTTCACTTCCGTAAAGATTTACAGTCTTGGAAACCCACAGGGGCAGTTCTGCTCTGTGCTATCGGGTCGCTCTGAGTCAGAAGCTACTAGTGAGTTTGAGTTGAGAGGGAGCGGGGGAGAAGCTGGTGGACAGGTCTGTTTTGTGTGACTACAAGTTAGGGTTTTCTTTTTTACTTATTTTTTTTTAGGGTTTTCTTTCTTTTTACTGTATGAAACTGCTTATTAAATAAAATAAAAAGTGAAAAATACACTGAAAAACAGGAGTAGTCACAGCAAACCATACATTTGGGTGCCATTGTTTTTAAGTTTTATCAGCACCTCATCCACATGTCGTACAATTCAGTAATCCCAGCCTATCAAGAAGAGCTGTACAGTGATCACACAGTCAATCCTTGAACGTTTTCTTCTTTGTGCTCGTTGTTTTTCATGTAATTCGGATTCTTTTTCTAGTTGTGGCAACAATACACACAACCAAACATCCTCCAAGTCCACAACCTCTACATGCATAACTCATTGATGATACTCTTCGTGTAGTACAGCCGTTACTGAGCTCCTTTTCCAGATGATTCTGCCACATGCTAGGTTTTCCTATTCCAGAACATCTCCTACTGTTTCGTCACATTCGGCCCGGTCCTTTCTTTGGCATTTTCCTCTATTTGGAAGCCCTTGGGACTTGCAAGCTGGCATCTTTACTTTAGAGAAGACTGGTCACTGGCTATTTGGTGTTTCCTTAATAAGGTGATATTTGAGGTGGGACTTCTGGTAGGAGTTGGAAGAGGACACATACCCCTAGTACCACCATTCTGCTACCATGTTCTTTTAATAAGCACATTCTTCTCTCTCTGTCTGTGTGTTAGTTGCCTGTGAGTGATTGGGTCACCTTTCCTTTGCCTCTGTGTGTGTGTGTGTGTGTGTGTGTGTGAGAGAGAGAGAGAGAGAGAGAGAGAGAGAGAGAGAGAGCAGAGGCACTCAGGGGCTATGAGCTTGGTCTAGTGATTGGGTCACCTTTCCTTTGCCTGTGTGTGTGTGAGAGAGAGAGAGAGAGAGAGCAGAGGCACTCAGGGGCTATGAGCTTGATTGTTTCTCTCCCGTCTGCTGCAGCCACAGAGCGACCGTCTTTCCAGGCCTGGCCCGAGCGACTGAGCAACAACGTGGAGGAGCTGCTGCAGTCTTCCTTGTCCCTGGGAGGCCAGGAGCAGACGTTGGAGCACAGGCAGGAGCAAGGGCAGGAGCACAGACAGGAGCAAGGCCAAGAGCATAAGCAGGAGGAGGGGCAGGAACAAGAGGAGCAAGAGGAGGAGCAAGAGGAGGGGGCGAAGCAGGAGGAAGGACAGGGGACACAGGAAGGCCTGGAGACAATGTCTGAACTACAGACAGACCCAGAGCCAAAGTTTCAGTCCGAATCTTTGTCTTCCAACCCTTCCTCCTTTACTCCCCGAGTGCGGGAAGTGGAGTCTACCCCTGTGGTGATGGAGAATATCCAGGAGCTCATTCGTTCAGCCCAGCAAGTGGATGAAGTGAATGAAGTCTTTAATGACGGACCCTGGAGAAATACCAAACGTGGCAGGTAAAGGAGGTTCTGACTCCCACGCTGGCCCAGCCCTCTCTGTCAAGGCCTCCTCTGGGAACAAGAAGCCCACCTTCCCAGCTTCGACCTCCAGACCCACTCAGATCTGCTTGGGCTTCAGGCACATCAAGCAGCTGCTGCCTCACCCGGTCTGTGCCCATCACTGGCTTCAGCGCGGTGCTTGATGCTGCTCCTCTGCAGGAACAATAGCATGAGCCCTAGCCCTGGAGCTGCTGGGCCTGGATTAGGCCCTTGTCTCTGGTCCTGATCAGCTCTGCAGCCTTGGGAAAATCACTTCCCCTGTCCACTTCAGTTCCTCGTTGGTCCAAAAGCCTCTAAGGCCTTATCCAGCACGCTCAGTGTGTGTGATTGAGACCAGATGCTAAGGGGAGGGGCAGAGAGTGGATGTGGCTTTCTGCTCCCGGTCCCTGGCCCATTCCCTACCAGCCAGTGCTGTCTTCTTGCAGCCTCCTGCAGCTGCCCCATGTGGAAGCCATGCTGGTACTGTGCTATTCGATTGTGGAGAGCGCCTGCATCATGACCCCCACTGCCAAGGCCTGGCAGTTCATGGAGGAGGAAATCCTTGGTTTTGGGAGGCCGGTACGCCCTTCATGCTCTTTAATGGATACATGGTCCCTGGGCAGCTTCTGGAAGTGGGAGATAGGCAGTTATATAAACACCGTGAGGCATGGTTGGGGAAAGGCTTTCCCGGCTGGGATCCCTTCTCTGGAAAGATCTCCAGCCCACCTTGTAAGAGGTAGGGTCGGTCCCAGTTGGGAAGCCATTCCGGTCCCTAAGGCATTCTTCAGCGGTCCACATTGTTAGGCCTTCAGTCACTTCTTGAGCCATTGTGAATGCCTGGCGTTGCCCGAGACTCCGCTCTCCTCCTTCCCAGAGCGTGTGCAGAGCGCACTCCAGGGAACTTGTAAAGAGAGTCCAATGTTAATGTATCCTGAGCACCCAGCCAGTGTGCTCCCAGGAAATTACACTTAGGTTTCCAGTTTCTAGAAGTGGACAAAATGCATCTAATTTGTCAACAATTTGAAAACATCTTTTTAAATTATAAAGGTGATATAATTTAAAAAGAGCGTGACTAGGCCATCCATTCTGCAAACAGTGTTTGGGCACCAACTCTTTACAAGGTCTTAGACAACATAGAGAATGAGGGGCGAGGGTGGGTGATGCCGCACCCCCACCCCCGTTTGAGAGGGGCAGAGGGACTGACAATTAAACTAAGACCTGACGAAGTGGTTAGGCAAAAGAGCGGGCGTGGTAGAAGGTTGCTAGCAGAGGGATTACTGCGTACCGAGGCTCTGTAATCAGCAAGAACAGAGAGTTCATGAGGCCCTAGGAATGGACACACTGCTCCTACCGTCAAGGGGCCAAAAGCCTGTAAAGGGGGTTCCTGTGGACACCGCCGTAAAAGGAGTATGATAGGTGTTGAAGAGAGTTGTTCATGATTAACTTAATGGCTTGGAACTCCGGAATCCTGCCGTGCTCACTGGGTGTTAGGACTTGGTTCAACATCCATGGACTCGGATCAGAACAAGAGGGTCATAATATGAAAACTCTGAATTGGTAGTCCAGAGCATTTGGCTTTTCACTGGTCAGGAAGAGCGAATCCAGCCAAGGTTGGGGCAGGGCCGGGCTGCGGCCGTGAGGATTGTCCACAGGGCTGTGCTGCACGGGGCTCCGCGCCGCCGGTGAGGAAGGAGGCTGACGGGCTTGACTTGAGCTGCCGCTTCGCCAGAGCCGCCTCACAGTGCTGAGGAAGCTAAATCGGGACAGGAAGTCCAGCCAGGAGACAGAGGGACCTACTGTACAATGTCCTCCAAGAAGGTGGAGGTTTCGAACCTGGGTGCTTGGGTACAGCGTGGATTTTGGAATTAGGTAGACCTGGCTCCACATCCCAGCTCCACCCTGTACTAGATATATAGCTTTGCGCAAGTTACTTAACCTCAGTGGGCCACAGCTGCCTCATCAGTCAAATGGGATTGTTACTCGTGTCTTTTCTATCATAAGGAGCCCTGGTGGTGACGTGGTTATGCTTCGGGCTGCTAACCACAAGGTCAGTAGTTCCAAACCAGCAGCAGCTCCTCCTCCTCACAAAGAGGCACCGTCTCTGGGTGAAGTTAGGAAGAGTTGTTGCTTAGGGGGCCTTGAGTTTGTGTTCATGGTGGCGGAATAATATGGGAAAGGAGATCAATGATGGTTGTACGAAGAGTATCATCAGTGGCACTGGATTATACACGTAGGAGTTGGAGAATTGGAGAATGTTGTGTTGTGTGTATTTTTGCCACAGTTAGAAAAAAAATAGTTTCATGAATCATGAGGAAGAAGAAAATGTTCTAGAATTGACTGGTGGGAATTGTACAACTCTTCTTGATATGATTGGGCTATTGAACTGTATGACATATGGATGAAGTGCAAATAAAACTCCTGGGGAAAAGTATTTATGGTCTGGACATCCACATGGTCTCGGTGAGTCGGAATTGGCTTGGTAGCAGTACGATCAAGAAACACTGGTGACTGGAAGCAAACGATGGAAAATAAGATAGAGGAAAGAATCGAAGCTGGATTAAAGGATCAGTCACAGAAACGAAGATCCCATCACAGAATTTTGCAAGCCCAATAACTTCGTTGCAAAGATCTTTTGTTTTTCAACAACATAAACAGCAACTATCCACGTGGACCTCACGAGATAGCGGGAACCAGAGTCATTCCGAAGGAGTTGCCAACACCACGTGGCTTATAATAAAAGGAAGGACTTTATTGTGTCAACACATGGCTCAGTGGGATCTTATCTAGAGCCTGAGCCCCACCCACCCCTGCCCCCCAGGAGCACCTTATAAGGTAGGAGAGTGGACTCATGGGGTTGTCTGGGGCCCGTCGGTCAGTGAGCTGTTGCTTACACAGGGCTGTGGGGGGTGGGCGGGTAGCACAGGATGCTTTATCTCTGGAGTGCACTCTGTCTATCTGTGCCTCGACTACACCCGTGGAAAAGAAGGCAAAATAAGGCCGGGGGGCCAACTGTGGAAGAGACCCTTGGGGCTACCCCGCCCGAATGCAGAGACCGTCGCAAGAACATATGTGACACAGGAACGGTAAGCCCGAAGCACTGGTGAGTGGTGGGTGACCAAAGACGTCCTCTGTGCAGACAGCAAAAGAAGGATGAAAAGACAGGAAAGAAAGAAAAGACCAACTGGATGACCGCGGAGACGCTGCCCCTTGCTCTTACACATCCAGAAGCTAAAGGCGGTGGAGGAAATAGAGAGAGCTGGACAGGAAACGTCCAGGGGCAGCTGGAGAAGAGGCATCACGATGAAATCCGCCCAGGCCTGAGTGAGGGCACGCGCCCACGGCAAAGGAAAGGGCTTTGCAGACTGAGCTGGGCCAGCGAGAGGAGAGGCACCAAAAATTACGGATAGAGGGACGGAGGGGGGGGAGGCGGGAGGGAAGAAACAAAACATATATGGCGGTGTGAAGTGATACTATTACTGATTTGATGTGGTGAGATCACTGTGCAACGGTAGAGAATGTTTAAATAAGTTCGATTAAAAAATTTTTAAGTTTAATTTTTAAAAAGTGAAGGCTTACAGCCTTAAAAAGCCTGCAGAGCCCTGACCCTCAGATGGAAGCATTTGTCTGAGTGGCCCTTCAAGGAAGAAGGTAAAACTGAAGCAGACGTGGACTCACTAGGGATGCACGTTCATTTCAACGCTCAGTGGATCTCAAGCTAAAAGAACTCAAAACCAAAAGCATTCAAGCATCAAGTTGTAATAATGAGTGGATTACTGGAGATATCGTTAGGTTTCTCTTGGGTTGAGGTTTTTCTGTTTTATTTCGTTATCTTTGGTTGGTTTGGTATGATTTTCTGTATATGAAATCCAGGATAGGCAGACCCATAGAGGCAGTAGCCAAATTACTAGTTCCTCTGAGTTTTGATAAGGGAGGTTGTAGGGTGGGGAGCTAACCATGGGTGCAAGAATGAATAACGAGAAAAAATGATAATAAAATGTTCTAAAATTGTGATGAGTGAGTAACTTTTCAATCTGTTTGAACCATTGACATTGCATGGTACGTGAATTATATGCCAGTAGGAAAGTAATACGGACAAAAATACTGAATGATACAAGAAGGATCAAAAGAGGATGTAGCCCTGGGTCTGGCCAGACCCTGGAGGAGTGGACTCTCCTGCTCCAGCTGCTGTAGCAGTGCCTGCACCCCAGGCACTTGGAGCCTTTCTCTGAGACCCTGCCTCGCACCTTCCTCCAGAGACGACTTCTACAGAAAGAACACAGCATTCCAAGGACCCTGGCACTCCTCCCTCCTCCCATGCAGGGTGCCTGCCCTCCATCTCCACTGCCTCCCTTTTCTGTCATGCTCAACAGCTTATGATTTCTGTCCAGGCCCCTGCGCAGCAGACTGGCACCCCCCCCCTGCAGGTTGGATTTCTGTAGGAATCTTGAAGAGTTTTGATAGTGTAAATTGTAGTTTTGCCCCTTAGGACAAATACCAAAATATGCAGCATTTTTGGTAGGAAAAGAAATTATCCTGTGACTTCCACCTAATTCCTGAGGCCCATAGAAAAAAATATTTATGTCCTAAAAGTTATTCAGAAAATAGAATTAAGTTAATATTTTTTTAAAATGATGATGATGTAGGGAAATACGCAGAGTCACCATACCAAAAAGATTTGGCTGACATTCATCCATGTGAGAGGTAGCGTATGATCCAGAACCAATGGTACTGGAGGGAGAAGTTCAAACTGCACTGAAGGCATTAGCCAAAACGCAAGGCTCCAGGAGCTTATGGAAGACCGATGGAAGGTTTTATCAAGCTGATAAGGCCCTGGAACCAGTCTACGCCAAGAAATGTGGCCAACTAACTGGAAGAGATCCATGTGTTCCCCTCCTGAAAAAAGGTGACCCTACAGAGTGCAGAACTTATCAAACGATGTGACACCCCTGCAAGTAGAATGTTGCTGAGGATAATTCAAAGATAGCTGCAGCAGTACATGGACAGGGAGCTGCCAGACATCCAAGCTAGGCTCTGAGGAAGGCAAGGCACCCGGGATGTCATTGCTGAACATCGATGGTTCTTAGCGGAAAACAGAGTACCAGAAAGATAGTGACGGGTGTTTTATTGACTGTCCAAAGGCATTTGTATGGATCATAACAAACTATGAGAAGAATGGGAATTCCAGAACACTTCACTGTGCTCATGTGGAGCCTGTACTTGGACCCAGAGGCAGGCGTTGGAATAGAACAGAACACTGCAGGGTTTGAAATCAGGGAAGGCGTGAGGCAGGCTTGTATCCTTGCACGATCCTTATTCAATCTGTATACTGAGCACATGATCCAAGAAGCGAGGCTCTCTGTAGAAGAATGCAGCATCAGGATTGGAGGAAGACTTTTTAACCACCCTCGATCCACAGTTAACACAACCATGCTTGTCAAAAGTGAGAACTTGAAGCCCTTGCTCATGAAAATCCAAGACTGTAGGCTTCCAGATGGATTGCAACTCAGAGAAAACCCAAATCCCCCCAGGGGCCAACAGGCAGCATCACAATCAACCGAGAAGAGACGGAAGCTCCCAAGGATTTCCTTTGCCTTGGATCCACTATCAGTGCTCCTGGAAGCAGCAGTCAAGGGATTGAAGGGTGACCGCCACCTACCTGATATGTCGTCCAGGGAGGGAAAGCCTGTCTCGATGGCAAGTGGAGTGAGTCACTAGAAAGGAGCCATTGGGGAGGGCCCTGGCTCAGTCTTGTCAGCTGCTCTCTCTACCACAATGTACATATCCCAATCACGGCCCCACTCCCATTCCAGTAACCCCATCTGTAATTACGATGTTTTGATTTGCCACATACCATACAGGTGTGACAGTTTTCCTTGACTTCCCACGTCCTTTCTGAAGTATATTATCAAACCCTTGGGTACCATTATGCCCCCATGCCAAGGGCCATCCCCCGCTGGATAATATGCCTCTGTCTTGGTCTGCCATGTGTTCTACCTAAGTTGCTAGCAAATGTGCCCTTACAAATGAAAACCATGTTCCAAAATGGATCGTGGTGGTTGCACAACTCTTGGTAATGATTGAATGGTTAAATTGTATATGTGACGGACATGCCAATAGAACTATTTTAAAAGTTAGTCTGAGAAGCCAGAGGCAGTTCTGCCCTGTCCCATAGGGTCACTGGGTTGGAAGCTACTCAGTAGCAGTGAGTTAATGTCATCGAGAGACAGGAAACAAGATTTGAAAATGGGCAGATTATTTTAGGAAACCCCCCACGTGTACTGTGCTCTCCATTTGATTCGGACGTGTAGGGATCCCCTCTCAGGTTTCTGAGGCTGGAAACCTGTACAGGAGGAGAAGCCGCGTCTTTCTCTTGAGGAGCCGCCAGTGGGTATGAAACACCGACCTTGTGGTTCACAGGTTAGTGTTAACAGATTGCTCTTTAAACGTCAGCCATGATGATTTGTTTAAATTCTAGAAAAAGTGTGAATTTAAACGATTTAAACACCATAGGTTTTGTAAGGAAAACAGACTTCAAAAACAAACAAGAGCACATGAAAGACAAATCAAAGGACATCCTATTGCACTGGGCACATCTGCTGCCCAAGTCCTCTTTAAATTGGTCATTCTGAGGACCAAGGCTTTCTTGACCCACGCCACGGTATTTTCAATAGCCTCAGATACACCTGAACGCCGGGCAGTGGATCAGGAAGACGAGGCAGAATGGATGCGTTTGGATCCTGGTGGTAGTGAAGACTGGAAAGTACCGTGGCCTGCCGGGAAAGCGGTCAGTCTTGAAAGTCCAGCCGGAATGCTCAGAAACCAGGATGGGGAGACTTCCTTGCATGTCGGTGTTTTCAGGATCAACCTGGAAAAGGACAGCATGCTTAGTGACATAGAGGGTCAGCAACAAAGAAGAAATCAGAAATGAGATGGATTGACACAGTGGTGCCAACCGCCAGGCTCAAAGACAGCAACAGCTGTGAGGATGGTGCCGGACGGGGCCGTGCCTCATTCTGTTGTGCGCAGCCGACTCATCGGGATGAATAGCACTATGGTAGGGTTCTTGTGAGAATCGAATGGCATTTACTTCTTGAGAAATACCCTGCTCTCAGCAGAGTTGGAGAGGGAAAGGGTGTGAGCTCTTTTCAAATAGGCTAAGTCCGGGGTAACTTTAGATCACCCGTGGTAGCATCTGTCAGGCACTTGGCAATGAGGACTTGGACAATGGGGAAGTGAGCGGAGCACATGATAGAGTTGAGTGTCACCTGCAGAGAGATGAAGGTGACCTGCAAGTGGACAAGTCGCCCAAGAAGAGGGTGCTGAAATAGCAAGCTGAGGCAAGCCATCCTTGAGGACCCTTTGGGGAGGGAAGCAGGGAGAGAGGCTTATTAGTGCAAAGACCTGGGCCTGGCCGGGCCCTCTGCGGGCTTCCCTCTGGGAGAGGGCAGGCTGCCAGGTCTCAGCATCAGCCCTTCCCTCAACTTCCATCCCAGGTCTGTGACAATCTTGGGCGGCGACACACACCTACCTGCGGCCTCTGTGACTTCTGCTCCCTGAAGCTGGAGCAGTGCTATTCCGAGGCCAACCTGCAGCGGCAGCTGTGTGACAGCTCTCACAAGACCGCCTTCATCAGCCCCTTGCTCACGTCCCAGACCATATCTGTGGGCACGCAGGTAGGCAAGGCAGCCTAGTGGGGAAGGGGGCCACCCCAGGTGCCAGCGGGGCAGTGGGAAGGGAGGCCTGAAGCGGTCCAGGAGCCCGCACCTCTCCCCTGTCCACTGTATACTCCAGGCAGGGCCCAAACAAGCAGGTCACTTTTATGGACTGGATTTGTACGGCGGACTCCGCGTGGACTTCTGGTGTGGCCGGCTCGCCACAAAGGGCTGTGAGGACCCTCGGGTGGCCGGCTGGCTCCAGACGGAGTTCCTCAGCTTCCAGGATGGGGATTACCCCACCAAGGTCAGAGACCACTCCCCCCCACCCCAAATCAGCCCCAGTACCCCTGTCCCTGCTTCTTGTCACCACAGGAACTGGAATGAGTGGGGGGGGGGGGCCTGGTGTCTGAAAATCAGTCGTCCACCATGCCCCCTGCCTCTCTGCCATGCAGTGGCAGCCCCCCAAGCTCACTGAGCAGGATTATATTTGACAAAGGGTGTATGTGTGGGTGGGGGAAGGTACACAGCACCATCGGCAAGCAAGAGGTTCTGTTCCTGTAACCCTGGGCCCAAGTGTTCAGAGCAAAACCCCAAACCCACTGCTTTCTGGTCCATCCTGACGCGTAGGGCACCTGGAGGACAGAATAAACTGCCCCACAGGGTTTGTGGGCAGCAGGCATGATGGAAGCAGACAGCCATATCTCTGCTGTAGAGTTGGCTGGTGGTTTATCCACAGCCGACCTTTAGATTGGCAGCCCAGCACTGAACCAGACCACCTTAAAGTTTGTGACTCATCTCTGCTCTGCGTGACTCCCTTCCTCTAACTCCATGCCACTGGGTGGAGGCTGACTCAGAATGGCCATCTAGGACAGGGCAGACCTGCCAAGACTGTTAACTCCTTATGGGAGTAGAAAGCCCTGCCTTGCGCCCAAGGAGCTTGGTGATTTAGAACTGTGGACCCTGCGGCTCGCAGCCCAGCTTGTAACCACTGTGCCACCAGGGCTCCTTTGACTCAGTGACGAGGTGATACAACACATGGAGGGGCCAGTCCTGTGATCTGGTCAGAGCTTTCTGACCGCAGTGTGCCAAGTTCTTTCCCGCCTCCTCCAGCACCTTCCCTGCTCCCTGAAACCACCTTGCTCCCCGTCCTCAAGGTCATAGCCCCTGTGCTCCTGCCCCTTGTTCCAGAGGGCTTGGCGTCTGCAGACAACCCAGGCCAGGGAAAGTAGAGGCAGAGGGACCCTGGCCAGCTCTCCTCTCTCGACCCCCGTGAAATGGAGAGGTCTCAGACCCATACCAGCCACCCTTCGGGGCTCATAGGTTGGAGGTCAAGGGCCAAAAAGGAGGTGATTCATCCAGAGTTGCACATTAAAGACCCTTCTCCGTGCTCCCTCAATCACATCACCAGAAGGAACCTGCTCCTGGGCTTCCCATGCCTCCATCACTTTCCCAGCAAGCTGGCTGGCCGGCAGGACAGCCGCTTCTCATTCTCCCGGACTCTGGCTCCTTCGGAGCCACTCCGCTCTGAGGACCATGGCCTGCTCCTCAGAGAGGAAGCCCCCAGCGGGAGCACTTGGACAATGCAGAAGCCCTGGTTCTCCGTGCCCCCACGCGGCCCCGCCGCTGCTGCCGCCATGGTGGGTATCCTCTGGAGGACTCTGACACCTCCTCCTCTCCTGGCCTTAGATTTGTGACACCGACTTTGTGCAGTATCCGAATTACTGTGCCTTCAAAAGCCAACAGTGTCTGATGAGAAACGAAGACCGGAAGGTGAGCAGCCACCTGCCTTCCCTGCCTTCTCCCATCAGCCTGAGCAGCGTGGTGAGCAGGCGTGGAGGACAGCTCCCCACCTGCATCCGTGGGGCAAAGGCCTCCCTCCACCAGAGCATCATCCACTCCAGCACTCCGGTCTGGGAGCAAGCAAGGCCTTCCCCAGGCAGGAGCAGAGCAGGGCTGGGCGGGGACTGGGGCAGGTAGAAAGTGGGGCCCTGAGGGCACTCTCAGAGAACCCTCAGCTGAGTTGCCTCAGCCCTGCCCCCTGTTCTTACTCACCTCAGAGCCTGGGATAAGTCACTTCCCTCTCGGGGGGTTGGGGCTACTTGGTGTCTCTTGCAGCTTTTTAGAAGCCCACGGGCAAGCGCCCTCCACTGCCCTGTGCTCATGCCCGCATCTTCTGGTTCTTGTCGGGCCTCTAATATGCCCCCCGCCCCCGCCCCCCGCAGGTGTCTCGTATGAGGTGCATGCAGAACGAGACGTACAATGTGATGACCCAGGCCAAAAGTGAAGACCTCGTGCTTCGCTGGAGCCAGGAGTTTAGCACCTTCACTCTGGGCCAAGCTGGATGAGCTGGGCGAGGCCCATCCTGCCCCCCGACCTCACAGCCCGGCCTTGTCACGTTCTCCAGCACTCCCGAATGCCAGCTTGTCTCCAGGCGAGCCCACCAACGGCCCCTGTGTCCACGACTTCCTGGGGTTGGGTCAGCAGTGCTGGAGGGACTCATCATGGCGCTCCAAGGACCCTGACGGATGTTTTGTACATAAAGCATTTCTTTGCAGCCTGTGTGGCCTGTGCTGGTTCTGCTTCCCTCTCCGTAGCACTGCCACCCTGCCCCATGGGAACCAGCCCCCCACCCGCACCCCGCCCTGGCTCGTGGGTCTGCAGGTGAGACTCTTCCTGAGAACGCTCTGTGGTGGAAGCAGAGTCGGCAGCAGCAGAGGAAGACCTGAGGCATTAGGACTTGCCATCGGAGAGGACCACGGCTGGGCCTTGGGGAATCGCACAGGCCGCGAAGGGTAGGTGTGTGTGCAGTTCTGAAGCCCTGGGCCTCATGGCCTTGGGTGCGTGGATGAAGGCCCCAGCGTCCCTGGGATTGTAGGTGGCGTGTGGGAAGTGGGAGTAGGGAAGGCTCCACCCTAGAGAAGTATGGGAAACTTGGACTTTCATCAGGACGGAGGGAACTGCTATGGACAGCCAAGCATTTGTCAAGGGCATCTGAGTGCGGCGGGGATTGGGTCTGGCTGACACATGTTGAGGTTTGTCTCCAGAACTGACCTTTCGCCAATGGGGACCTCCCAGAGATAGTACTCTGGGGACACACATATTTGGAAACCATACAGCTGCTGCTACTAAAGGTTCACAGCATTTTTTTTTAAAAATCGTTTTATTGGGGGCTCATACAACTCTTCACAATCCATCCACCCACCCATTGTGTCAAGTACATCTGTACATATGTTGCCATCATCATTTTCAAAGCATTTTCTTTCTACTTGAGCCCTCGGTATGAGCTCCTCATTTTTTCCCCTCCCTCCCTCATGAACCCTTGATAATTTATAAATTATTATGTTTTCATGTCTTGCACTGTCTGATGTTTCCCTTTATCCCCTTGTCTGTTATCTATCCCCCTGTGAGGGGGTTATAGGTAGATCATTGTGATCGGTTTCCCCTTTCTGCCCCCACCTTCCCCTATTGGCTGCTCTCAATATTGGTCCCGAGGGGTTGATCTGTCCTGGATTCCCTATGTTTCCAGCTCTATCTGTACCTGTGTACATGCTCTGGTCTAGCCAGATTTCACAGCATTTTTAAAAAGGTGAGCGTATTTTTTTATTATCTTTTTTAAAAAGGTGAGCGTATTATGGGAAAGTTGACAATGTGCACAAAACTAGATTGGTCTAATGCACCCCCCACCCCTACCCTGTGTCCTTCACCCAGGTCCAATGACCAACATCTGGTCAGTCGTCCTGACGGCGTGGTAAAGACTGAGAAGCCTTGGTTTTTGTTTTTATTTCATTTCACTTGAGAAGCCTTGTAATAGCGAAATCTCGTTAGCGTGCCCTGAACTCACTGGATCACTGTATGCTTTTTCCCCTATTCACCCGATGATTTAACTTATTGTGGTTTACGGACTAGCAACAAGAAGCCCCATCCTGGGCTCAGCGGCAGGGGGGCAGGGGCAAGGGGCTGCCATCAGAAGGGCCCTCCGTCCCAGAGCCCCCCAGCCCCAGGGGAAATAGACACCAACAAAGAGGAACAGTGCAGTCTGGCTTCTGGTGTACTGGGGAGGGAGGGCCTAGGGGAACAGCCACGGGCAGTGGGGCCCTGGGCAGCATGGGGCACAAGCCGAAAGCAGCAGAGGCTATGCCACCTGACAGGCAGAGAGAGGAAGGGAGACACCCAGGGGAAATGGGGGAGAGGCCGGTTAGTTAGTCATCTGGCATCTGTGGGGTGGGTGTGACAGCAGACCTTAGCGGAAACTCCGTGGTGAGTGTCTAAGTGTCTGTGTGTGTGTGTGTGTGTGTACACGCGTGTACGTGAGTTCAGGGCAAGGGAGTGATTGCTCATCAGCCAGAGCTGGGGGCTGGGTTAAGTGCCATGACCTGTTGAGATCCCTTGAAGGATGGGCCTCCGGGGAGGGCACTGCCTTCTCCCATCGCTCTCCTTGCCCCTTTGTGGGGCTGGGTGCGCCCGTCCTCGGAGGAGCTGGAAGGGATGGCCCATGATCTGCTAAGGTGGGTGTGTCCCTACCCACCCCAGAATCAGGTCTTACCAGCCAGCCGAGCCCCGCCAGAGCCAAGAGGGCAGCGGAAGCCGGCTAGGGACAGCGGCAGAGCAACTGGGAGCACAGGTATGTGGGTTCCACAAGTGGGAGGCTGACAACAGACCGACCGCAGGGGCCACGGGCAGCACCCCTCCCTTAGAAATGGGGGGCAGGTGGGGCACACGTGAGAGAGGCCCACCTGGGCCTGGGAAACCTTTCTGAGTAACAGTAGATAGAAAACTGAAAGGAGGGGCTGCCTCAAACAGACAGACCTTCTCAGTAGACGGAGCCAAAGTAGGTGGCCAGCATGCCAGACAGGACACTCCCCTGGGTGCCCTCTGAGGCTGGAACCCCCCACGCTGGGCCAGCTAGGGACGGCTGTATCCTCCCCATCACCAGTGCCCAGTGCCCTTGCTGAACCCTGGACGACACAAGGCCACTAGGCAGGCTCTCTGGGGACTGTTTTCCACCCTGCCCCCTCAGTTAAAACAACTTAACCTCACCTCCCCACCCACTCATTCCCCGAGGCCAAGCCCTCTGCTAGAAGAGAGTTCAGTGGCACAGTTCGCCTTTCCAGTAACCAAGGTATATTTGAATGGAATCTTCGGGAAACACTGCCTTATCCCCAAGGGTTCATTCCTAGAAAGGGATTGGCCGGGACAGTCTCTTATGTCCTGGATCGCTCTGACTGTGTGGTTGGTGAGAGGGATGGGATTTCAGGTGGAGGCACTATTTGGGGGCCAGCCGGGCTTTATGATACCTATGTCACATGGCTGAAGACACTGCCTGCCTATTATCTATGCTGAGGGGGATCTCTATGACAAGATGAGGACTTCCCACTAGATTCTGTCCCTGGAAGTCTTCCTTTTTAGGGTGAGCTCAAGTTGTAGCCCTACTGGGAGATGGCGGCAAGGATTGAAGGGGAGGTAAAACTCACCTGTCAGCCTCACCTCCTGGCCACTCAGACACCCTAGGGCCCAGCTCTGTCTGGTCCCCACTCTCAACCCCTCCCACAGCCGAGATTGCTCCCCACGGTCCCCTCCCCCCAATCTACGCAGAAAGCCTTTTGCAGCCAGATCCCAGGGAAAGGAAACTGCAGGTAAAGGGGCTGGTTGTGCAGGCTGATTGCTGCCAGAGTTCAGATTGAAGTCATGAGGTCAAAAGCTCAGGTAGATTTGGGGGAGGAGGCGAGGCCTCTGAGCAGGACCCACGTGAGGGTGGCATTCCAGCTGCGTGGGGGGGGGGGGGCGAGCGGCCATCCCTCCGCAATGCTTGTCTCCCAGCCAGCCGGCAGGCCGCCCTTCACTTCCTGTTTTTCCAGTTCTCGAAATCAGGGTGGAGGAAGATGTACAGGCGGTGAGGTGACATCCACTCACGGGGAGTGGGGACAAAGGAGACCAATAATTAGGCTGGAAGGGTGCCTTTGCTGTCTGTCTTTTCCCTGAAAAAAATATCGGGAGGGGTGAAGTCAGAGGCCCAGGAGGGTTGAGAGGCTCAGGTAGGAAAGGGTCGGGGAGAGGCTAGAGCAGGAATCCACTGGAGATTGCCCCTGGGCCTGCACCGGAGAGGAGGGGAGGACAGGACAGAGGCTGCCAAGGGTAGGGCAGAGGTGGCACATGCCCTGGGCACCACTTGGTGGTGAAAGGGGGCCAGTGCCAGTCACCAGCTTATCCAGCAATTAAAAACTGATTGCCAGAGGCGCTGTTACCCTAGATTCACTGCTGCACCTGTGCCTGTGCCAAGGAGACTCCTGTCTGGAAGAAAATGGCCCCTGGGGCAGGAGGAACGCCCCCTCCCCGCCCCTGCTACCCCCAGAACTTCCCACTCTGCCTGGCCCTTCTGTCACAGGTTAAACTGACTGGCAGGATTCACTGAGCGAAACTTCTGCAGTTTGTTTTCTTCTGGGGGAACCTGGGTTTATCCATATCGAGGACTCTTTACACAAAGACAAGAGCCTAGGGGGAGTACTGAATATACCTCGTTGTTGGGCTGCTAACTGCAAGGTCAGCAGTTGGACTCCCACCAGCTGCTCCTCCGGAGAAACAGGAGGCTTCCTGATTGCATAAGGATTTAGTCTAAGTCAAATAGATTGTAAATGTTTAGAAAATAATGACAGCAACATATGTACAAATATGCTTGATACAATTGATGTATGGATTGTTCTAAGAGCTGTAAGAACCCCCAATAAAATGATCTTTTAAATACCTAAATAAGATTTAGTCTAGGAAAAAAAAAAAGATTTAGTCTAGGTCTGATAGTAGTGATGACTGTATAACTCCACTCGAGGGAAGCGAATAACAGAATCGTATGTGAAAAAATACATATAATAATAGAATATTAATAATATATAACAACCACAAGGATTGGGTGGTGGGAAGTGGGGGGAAGGGAAAGTAGGGGAGCTGAGATCAGAGCTCAAGTAGAAAGAGAATGCTTTGAAACTGATTATAGCAGCAACTGTACAATTGTGCTTGAATTATTTGAATTATGGGATGTTATGACATCTGTAAGAGCTCCCAATAAAATGATGAATTTATTTTAAAAAGTTAAAAGATCTCATGTAGGAAACCCTAAGGAACAGCATTTCTCTGTCCCAAAGGGTGGTGATGGATTGCTATCAACTTTATGGCGGTGAGCTGGTCTGTTTGGGTTTCACACAAAGATGAAGCAAATGATGCCGCATCACTCAGCCATTCGCCTAAAGGCTGCTGCTTCAAACCCACCCAAAGGCACCGTAGAAGGCAGGTCTGGAGCTGGGGCGGGTCTTAGCCGCGAGGCCCCTCTGTGGAGAGTCCTTCTACTCTGCACACCTGCACGCGAGATCTCTCAGCGTCGGAAAGAACTTGCTGGCAACGGAAGGAGCAGTTCCCGTGGGAAGTGCGGCTTGGGTGCTTGCTCCACTGACTGGTCACTGGGCCCCTCTCTTTCTAGAAAGAGATTGGGGCGGAGCAAGGGACAAGGGATCTGAGGCACCATCTC